AAATATTATCTTTCTCTTTATCTTCCTCTTCTCTCACAATTGAGTCAGACGAGCCTAGAAACTCGACTTTGTTGTAAGTTCCTTCCTCGTCTACCTGCAACCGAATCTTGGTCATCTGAGCAAATTCTTGGTTGGGTAGACTAGGGAATTTCTCAAGTTTCCCTTGGGTGTCCATATAAGTGACACTCAGGAAAAAGTAATCATTGCAAGGAATGTAGAAAATGTTAATCGAACATAATGATAAGACATATAAACGCAGGAATATAAGCACGACATTTATGAATGGTATTCTAGCTCGAGGCTAACTAAATTGATGGAAAAGAACTTGTCTGTTACAACATTGCTAACGAGTATATATACTTATAAAGAAAAGAAAAAAAATATTCTAGATGATCACAAAAGTAATTACAAGAATCAAATAAAGAGATATTGAGGCATAGATCAAGGGATGGAGGCATAGATCAAGGGATGTGATATTGTGTATCACAATCTTCCATCTTTATCTTTATTATCCCCGTGCAAGATGGAAGGTCAAAGATAAAGGCCAATCTTGGATACAAAAGTCTAAAAAGCAGTGCGAGAAAATGGTTTAGTAAGTTTATCATCAAGTTGATATTATTTGAAATGTGGGACACCTGAAGAGTCCTATTTTGAACACTTTCACAAATAAAGTGGTAGTCGAGGCCTAGGTGCTTCATTTTTGAATGAAATATCGGATTAACCATGAAAAATGAGGCACCTGTGTTATCACAATAAATGGATGGTTGAACTATGGATCGGTAGCCGAGTTCCATGAGCAAATTAAGAACCCAAAAAACTTCAGTTGTGGTTGATGTAATGGTTTGTTGCTTTTTGGAGCTCCACGAGATTGGATTACGACCAAGATAGACAACATGTTCGGTAGTCAAAATGTAATTATCCTTTTGTATTTCCCAATTAGCATAAAAAAGGCATATAGTCGTAAAGGTAAATCATTGTGAATCAGGATTCCTTTGTTGATTATACCTACTAGATATCGTAGGAGACGTTTAAGAGTCGCCATATGTTCATTAGTGGGACAATACATGTATTGTGACAACTAGTTAACACTAAAAGCAACATCAAGACAAGTTAGTGATAAATATTTAAGGCTTCCAACAAGGGCACGATATTCAGTTGTGTTGGCAAGAGCTGACCAAGAAATTAAGAGAAAGGGGTAAAGATGTGATCATAGGGGTTGGCATTGGTTTGGATTCTTCCATGTGAGCCTTTTTTAGAATATCAAGAGTGTATTTCTGTTGGCTAAGGAAGAGATCACGAGGGTGAGAAATGACTTTAACACATAAAAAGCAAAAAGAATCAAGCAGAGAGTTGAGATATATAATTGTTAATAAGGTTTTTGTTGGAACCGGTGATAATGATATCATCGACATAGACAAGGAGATAGATGACATGATTATTGTGGCGAAGAATGAAAAGAGAAGAATTGGAGATGGCATTGACAAAATTAAGAGTGAGTAGATACTTTTTGAGTTCCATGTACTATGCTCGAGGGGCTTGTTTCAATCCATAGAGAGCTTTACAAAGTTTGAAAACATGATTAGGGAGGATTTTGTCAATGAAGCCAGGAGGCCGGGTCATATAAACATCCTTCATAAGTGTACCGTAGAGAAATGCATTGACGTCAAGTTAGCAGAGAGACCAACCTAAAATGACAGCTAAAGAGAGGATGACTCTAATGGTGGAATGTTTGATAATAGGGCTATAGGTTTCATTATGATCTAGACCAGGACGTTGATGAAAACCTTTAGCCACCACAAGGAATTATAGCGTTCTATCATGCCATCGGGGTTATATTTAGCTTCAAATACCCATTTACAACCAACACGGTTTTAAGAGGGAGATGAGGGAACAAGATCCCAAGTATGATCGTGAATAAGTGCATGTGAAGTAGAACATACGACATGGAGAGGCACAATACACTATGTATCAATGTTATGAGGTGTATGGATAGAAGTTAAATTGCTAAAAGGGAATGTTTATTCAATAAACTTAACATGACGTGAGACGTATATTTTGTGGGTATTGAGATCAAGACAGTAGCAGGCACTTTGGGTGGAAGAATACCCAATAAAGACACATGGTGTTGGGTATTGATTAAGTTTGTGTAAGGTATAAGGTCGTAACCATGAGTAACATAGGCTACCAAAGGTACGTAATTTCATGCAGTTTGGAGTAAAGCCAAAAATTTGTGAAAATAGAGATTGGTATGGAAGAGTTGGAGAGGTAATCTATTAATAAGGTAAACGACAGTTAAGAATGCTAAAGACCAGTATTTGAGAGGCATGGAGCATGATGAAAAAGAGATAGCCATGTTTCGATAATATTTCTATGTCGACGCTTCGAATAACCATTATGTTGAGGTGTGTGGGGAACGGATGTGAGGTGAGTGATGCCATGTATAACAAGAAAGGGTTAAGTTTTTCATATTATCCCCCATTGTTTGAGTAGAAAGTGATGATAGGACGATTAAAATATTTTGTAACTAATGCTTTAAAACGAATGAAAACAACTTTTATGTCAGATTTGTGTTTAAGGGGATAGAGCCATATATACTTATAATAGTGATCAACAAAGATGATGTAATATTTGTGAACATTATATGAGATAAAGAACATTATTTAAGTGAAAAGAATAAGAGGGTGTGAGAAGAGATGTGAAACCAACGTTTGAAATTAGAAGTCTGGAGCCATCGCTAATGACTAGTTCACTACTACCAACAAAAGAAGCCTGTAGGGTAAGTGCCTTGATAAGTATCAACTTATTTGATACTTTTACACTTTTTCTTACTTTATTTACCCATTTTATTTTCCCAAAATTCCGCAAATTGAGCCTTTTTGTTTTATTTTTCTATCTTTTTTATATTGGAGCTAAATTGATATGATAAACATGTTTACTTCTTGGATATGTGCTGATTTTTGGAAAAAGAGCCTTGTTAATAGGTGTTTGGCTGAAGCATGCTACAACGTGTGCTGCAGATGGTTCTAGGGGCACTTTTGAGAATAGTACGAGGATTCTTTTGATGTCAAATCCCCCTTTTTTGGCAGCCCAGCTCCTGTAGTTTTTAAGATCTTATGGTATAGATTTAAGATCTGATTTTTGACTAATATTTAGGTAGCATTGCTTTACCCAATGAACAATGTAAAAAGTGGGGTAAAAGCTTTGTCTTTTGGTCCTTGTCCTCCCTTCTCCAACTATATACATGGGGAGGCTTGGCATTGTAGGACGTAAGTAAGTCATTTGGAAAGTAAGAACTCTAGCAAGTAATTTGGGAGAAAGAAGTTTTTAAGAAACTTTTGCAAATGACTTTGGAAGTATTTTATTTTATCTTTACATTTAAGTCTTCTTTTTAATTCCTCTTTACATTTACTTTTTCTACTTTCTTTTATTCTCTTATGTTCTACTTATTATGTTTTATTATTTGTGCAATTAGTTTTTCTATTTCAAGTATCTTTAGTCTCTTTTATAATTCTTCTTAGAATTTATTTCTTCTACTTTCTTTTCCTTTCTTATGCTTTATTATTTACGCAATTAATTTTTCAAGTATGTTAGGCTAAAAATATAGCTTTGGTGTTGGGTGATGTTAAGAGAATCACCGATCTCGTTGTAGAAATATAAATAATAAATCTTTACAACTACGTAATTCAAGTTTTTATTGCAAAAACATCATCCATGGACAAGTTGATCACTTGTTTAAAAGTGTTAAAGTGTGTTGGATTTATAGATAAACCAACAAGCGCATGCCAACTTGAATGATATGGAAGTAGGCTCGAGAGAGTTATCTAGAATCGAGGAGACTCGTTTTCACTCCATTTAGCTTATAAAATGAATAGTATGAGCCAATGTCGAGATTCCAACCTTGCATAGAGATATGAAGGCTTAATCTATGACTGTGTGTCATTCTACATCTCGAGAGAGTACCTTAAAAAAGCTATTAGTTGTAAAGATAAGTTATTTATAAAGTATACTATAGAACCATGTTGTAGCATGTTGTCTACATAAAAGTCGGTTTAATATCTTAACAAATCCATACACCCTAAGCTCTCTTTTATTACTTGTTCACAACAGTAGTGTTTAACCAACTCACCACAAATATTTCTTCGAATTCACCATCTGAAATCATATCTTTATTTATACTATTAAAACGAACTTTTATTCTTTTTCTCCATGGATGATATTCGGTAGTTTTACCACTTTATTGCTTGTAAAAGACGATAGTGGATTGATAAGTGTATACTTGCATTAGTCTCCATTTGCTAACAGTCCGAGAGATTTATTTTATACAATTCTCGTAACAAGTTTTTGGTGCCGTTGCCGGGGATTAGGCAAAAGTTTTTTTTTAGTAAATCTAAAGATTTGATTTTTCTACCATCTTTTCACCTGACTTTAGGTGTGGTGTATGCCAAGCCTACCACACGGGGAGATTTTTGAATTGGATCCGGATATTGAGCGAACTTTCAGACAAAGACGAAGAGTGCAAAGAGCATTATTATCTACTCTAACCTCTTCCAATATGGCAGAAAATCCACTTCCAACACCTCCCCTACCACTGAATGACGCTGAAAAAATAATCAGACTGGCAAACTCAAAAGATGGAGGAATTATGGACTATGCCATTCCTGTTTTTGATCTATTAAACTCAGGGATAATTAGACCATAAATGAAAGCCCTTCACTTTGAGTTAAAACCAGTGATGTTTAATATATTGCAAACCAACGGTCAGTTCAGTGGTTTGTCATCTGAAGATCCACACTCACACTTAAAATCATTCATGGAAATAACTGACACTTTCCTTATCCCGTGAGTATCTAACGATGCTCTGAGACTTACATTGTTTCCTTTTTCTTTAAGGGATAGGGCAAAGTCTTGGTTCAATTCCTTACAACCAGAATCAGTGGATTCTTGGAATAGCATGGCAGAAAAGTTTCTAAAAAAAATATTTTCCTCCCACTCGGAACGCTAAGTCTAGAAATGAAATTTGTCTTTTTAAACAAATGGATGATGAGGCAATTCCTGATGCTTGGGAAAGGTACAAGGAGCTATTAAAAAATGCCCTCATCATGGCATTCCATATTGTATACAGCTCAAGACATTTTACAATGGGTTGAATCTCATTACAAAACAAATGCTCGATGCTACATCAGGAGGAGCTTTCACAGCTAGTACCTATAATGATGGATATGATATCCTTGAAAAGATTTCTAATAATAATGGAAATTGGGTTGATCCACGTGCACTAGTACCACGTAAAACAGCGGGAGTTCATGACATAAATGCTTTTACAGCATTGAAGACACAGATGACTGCAATGACCAACTTGATTAAAAATTTAACAAAAGGTCAAACAACACAATCTATAGCTACCGCACATGCTCCAATTGTTGAGTCGGTACAATGTGTGTATTGTGGTGGAGGCCATCCCTTTGAGCATTGTCCATCTAACTTTGAATCAGTCAACTATGTGGGGAATCAAAATAGATCAAGACCATTCTCTCAAACATACAATCTTGGGTGGAGACAACACCCAAATTTTTCATGGCACAGTCCTGTTTTAAACCCACCAATGAACAAACCCCAAGGGACTTCATAATTCTAACCACATCAAACCCAACAACATCATCAGGGACAAGCTCCAAACCATCACCAAAATACTTTTCATCAATAAACAAATCAGTCATCTTTCCAAAACAAGTCTAACCAATAAGTCGAATCTTCTACTTCTTTGGAAGCAACTCTGAAAGGATTCATAAACCAAACCAACACAGCCATGAACCATCAGAACACTGCCATAAGATCTCTAGAAATACAGATTAGTCAACTTGCACCTAAGGTAAGAAATAGAGCTGCAGGTACCCTTCCCAGTGATATAGAGATTCCAAAGCTAATGATGAAAGAACATGTGAAGGTAGTGACTTTAAGGAGTGGAAAGAACCTCGTGGATAGTGAACCTATGAAAAAGTCTATTGAACCCCATGACCCAATTGAGATGGATGTCACAACATCTAGTTTAGATATTGTCACAACCACCTTGAAAGATAAGGGAAAATCAATAGAAATAGGACCACTTCCTAATAAAGCAGACTTCCCCTTGTTATTTCTAAATGAAGGCAAAAAGAAGGTATCATTTCAGAATAATATTGGAACATCTTCTTCTGAAAGTAACAAGAATGTTGAGTCACCAGTCCCTCATAATGAACCTATCATCATCGAGGCACCCCCTAGTCAGTCCCTTAAGAAACCAGTCATAGCCCTTATTCCTCCTTATATTCCTTTTCCACAAAGGTTGAGGAATCAGAAGAGGAGTTGCGATTCAAAAAGTTCGTTGACATTTCAAACAGCTACATATCAACATCCCATTGGTGAAACTATTGAAAAAATGCCAAGTTAGGCAAAATTCCTCAAGGACATTTTGAGTAAGAAGAAGAAACTGAACGAATTTGAGACTGTGGCCCTAACAGAAGGTTTTAGCACCCTCCTTTCTAATAAAATTCCCCCTAAACTCAAAGATCCCGGGAGTTTCACAATTCCCTGTTCAATAGGTGGGAAGGGAATTGGAAAGGCTTTGTGTGATTTAGGTGCCAACATTAACCTCATGCCCTTGTCAATATTCAATACCTTAGGCATAGGTGAGGCTAGACCAACCACAGTTAACCTTCAGTTAGTAGACAAATCCATAGCTCACCCAAAAGGAAAAATTGAGGATGTATTAGTCCAAGTGGATAAATTCATTTTTCCAGCTGACTTCATCATTCTTGATTTTGAGGCTGATAAAGAGATAACAATCATCCTAGGAAGAACATTCTTAGCAACCGATAGGAATTTGATTGATGTTCAAAAAGAAGAATTAACTATGAGGGTGAATGATCAGGATGCCATTTTTAATGTTTTCAAATCCATGAAATACCCTGATGAGAAAGATAAGTGTTCTAACTTAAGTGTCATTAAGTCCTTGTGCCACAAAAAAGGAGTTAAATCTATGTTAGATTTAAGCAAGACTGAAGTTGTTGAAGAGATAAGACATTGAGAGGAGAGGGAGATCACCCTGTTGCAAGATACCTTTGCTTTTGATCAATTAGAAAGTGAGAGTGGAAAGACCCATGCCACTTTTATTGAGTCACCACCAGACTTAGAGTTGAAATTACTTCCCTCACACCTGAAATATGCATTTCTAGGAAAAAAGGAAGATTATTTGTCATTATCTCATCCACCATAGAAACACATCAGGAAGATCAGTTGGTAGACTTGTTGAAACTACACACCAAGGATATTGGATGGACCATCTCTAATCTAAAGGGTATCAGTCCTTCAATTTGTCAGCATAAAATCATCTTAGAAGATAAGAGTTTCACTTCTATTGAACCCCAAAGAAGATTAAACCCAATCACGAAAGAGGTTGTGAAGAAAGAGATTTTAAAATGGTTGGATGCGGGCATAATCTATCCAATTGAAAGCATCTCATGGGTAAGCCCAGTACAGTGTGTCCCTAAAAGGGAGGTGTCACTGTAATCTTAAATGAGAAAGATGAGCTCATTCCTACAAGAGTCGTATCTGGTTGGAGAATTTGTATGGACTACCGTAGACTGAATAAGGCTACTCAAAAGGACCATTTTCCTTTAACTTTCATAGATCAGATGTTAGACAAACTAGCTAGAAAATAGTACTATTGTTTTTTAGACAGATACTCATGTTACAATCAGATTGCAATAGCCCTAGAAGACCAAGAAAATACCACTTTTACATGTCCCTATGGTACCTTTGCTTTTAGACGAATGCCATTTGGTCTGTGTAATGCTCCCACCACTTTTCAAAGATGTATGATGTCCATATTCTCGAACATGCTTGAAACTTCCATGGAAATTTTTATGGATGATTTTTCTGTATATGGTACATCATATGATCAATGTTTGAAAAATCTTGAAAAAAGTCTTGAAATGTGTGAAGCAACTGATTTGGTTTTAAATTGAGAAAAGTGTCATTTTATAGTCACAGAAGGAATTGTTCTTGGTCATTTGATTTCAAAAAGGGGAGTTGAGGTTGATAAGGCAGAACTTGAAGTAATTGAAAATTTGCCTGAACCAACCACCGTCAAGGGTATATGAAGTTTTCTCGGACACGCTGATTTTTACAGAAGATTTATCAAAAATTTCAAAACCTTTGTGTTCATTACTTCAACATGACCAAAAGTTTGATTTTAGTGAGAAATATAGAAATGCATTTGACACTTTAAAAAAGGCTCTGGTTATTGCAACCGTGATTGCTACTCCAGATTGGAGTAAACCCTTTGAGATTATGTGCGATGCAAGTGATTGGGTTGTGGGAGCCGTTTTGAGATAAAGAAAAGAGAAAAAATTTCATTCCATCTATTATGCAAGCAAAACATTGAACGAAGCACAAGTGAACTACCCAACAACAGAAAAAGAATTATTGGCTGTGGTTTTTGCTTTTGAACGATTTAGATCATATCTGATGGGAACAAAAATCATTGTGCATAATGATCATGTTGCCATCAAATATTTGATCTCAAAAAAAAGATGCAAAACCTAGACTGATAAGATGGATTCTATTGTTGCAAGAATTTGATCTTGAAATAGAAGATAGAAAGGGAGTGGAAAATCAAGTAGCAAATCATCTATCTAGATTAGAGAAGCATACTACTGATTTGAAAGACATCATAGAGACTTTCCCTGATGAAAAAATCTTGATGCTAAAGCAATTGGAATCACCATGGTTTGCCGATATAGCCAATTATTTGGCTTGTGACATTAAACCTTCTGAGTACATTTGGTCTAAGCTCAAGAAGCTTTTCCATGATGTAAAATTTTACCTGTGGGATGATCCATTTTTATTTAAAATTGGTGCAGGTCATGTCTTGAGAATACGCATTCCAGAAACAGAGGTAACAAAAATCCTGGAAGATTGTCACAAGGCACCATATGGTGGCCACTTTGGTGGACAAAGGACAACAGCCAAGATATTACAATCTGGCTTCTTTTGGCCAACAACTTTTCAGGATGCTCATAATTTTTCCAAAAGATATGACGAATGCCAGAGAAGTGGCTCAATTTCTTAAAGGAATGAAAAGCCTTTGAATGGAATTTTGGAGGTTGAATTATTTGATATTTGGGGAATTAATTTCATGGGACCATTTCCTCCCTCTAATAATTGGCTATACATTTTAGTCGACGTTGACTATGTGTCAAAATGGGTGGAAGTAGTTGCATGTGTTTCAAATGATGCAAAAACCGTGGTTAAGTTCCTCCACAAACAAATATTCTCAAGGTTTGGTACCCTAAGAGCACTGATCAGTGACGAGGGTACTCATTTTGTGAATCATTTGTTACACGGAGTTCTTGAAAAATACAACATTGACCACAAAGTTGCCACCGCATATCACCCATCAACTAATGGATTGGCAGAACCTTCAAACCGTGAAATAAAAGGAATTTTGGAAAAAGTGGTTAAACCAAGCAGAAAAGACTGGGCTTTTAAATTGGATGATGCTTTATGGGCATATTGCTTGTCGGTTTATTCAACTTTAGATTTCAACACAAAAATAGAACTCGGCGCAAGTATACACCTTGAACTACTGTCGTCTCGTAACAAGTAATAATGGTATAAGTACCAGATATTGTTCCCCACATAGATAGCTTGTAAAGTTCTTCAAAAGTCCAGTTTATAAAAACTAGTTTCAGATGGCGAAACGAGGGATTTGATTTATCTAAAATTGGGTGATTTGATTAACAACTAAGAAAAATATCAATCTTAAAAAGAAGCACAGGTTGCAACAGTTGATTAAGACATTAAATAAATGATTCAGCAAAAAGGTGACATAGCATTATTGTCACAATTATCTAAAATTAGTAAATGATTTTATATAGTTATGACAGTATCAACTATCGGGTCAGACGGCCTCCCAAGAGCACACACCGGTCAACGTGCTATCGATACRATATCATTTATGTTAGACGTCGTGAATCCTAGCACAACACAGTGTTACCATCCTACACTGTAGGAGTATAGCGTTTGTCAGACACTAAAGCTATTTATAGCCTTCTCCTATTACCTCAGGTAATGAAAGTCAATACATTTCTATACACAAAATTAGTTGCCAATTAATTTTAATGTAATCATCAATTGAAATATTAAGCATATGAAACAAATAGTAGACTATAATGCTAATAAGACACCTTTGTACTTTCACATCGGCTTTGGTCTTAATTTCCCGTTATACCCCAAGCTAAGGCGTTAGCCCATCATTGCTCGGTTTCTTCTCTCGAAAGATGTAAGGACTGATAAATAAATAACTGATACGGAAAAGTAAATTGCAGAAAGTAAATTACAAGAAATGGAAATACTGGAATTTAAAGTATTGGAAAATTAAATGACTGAAATATAAATGACTGAAAGTAAATTGCTGGAAATTAAATGACTGGAAAGTAAATTGCAGTAAAGTAAAATGCAGAAATGTAAAAGACTGAAATATAAAAGACTGAAATGTAAAGGACTGAAATGTAAAAGACTGAAATATAAAAGACTGAAATATAAAGACTGAAATATTAAGGACTGAAATTAAATTATTAATAACTAAATATTATTAATTAATGTTAAACTAAGACATGATGTATGACAAGTGCTTGATGAGATGGAGAAATGACTAATGAATGCCTTGAAAATAGAGTTTGACTTTAAGGAAGAAAACTTGGAAGCCAAGTAACAAAACTTGCAACACAAGTTTCGTTACAAAGACAGAAAATGTTACTTGCAAACTCTTAAAAATAGATTATTTAGTCTACGTAAATTAGTCGTGAGCCACAAAGAATGAAATCAAGTGTAAAGCAACAGAAATCGACTAATTCGTAACTTGTAACAAAAGTCAGAAAACGTAACGTAACTTGGAAATAAGAACATGAATGAGATGAAGATTAAATACGAGTATTTGAATTAAACTTGAGAGCAATCACAAATCCACTTCACAAAAATCGGTTCTTGATTGGGAGCAAGAAAACCGAAAGCATGAAACCGAAAATAATAATTTAGAGATTAAATAACACAAAGATCATAAGTGTTAAATGGTAGAAAGCATAAGAAAGTGTAAGTAAAATCAAGGTTTAAGCCTCTATTTATAGGCTAAGGGAGTTTGCTTAATGGGAGCCACCTAATAAGACAAAAGACTCTTCAAAAATGGGCTTTGACTGGGCCCAAAGTTGTTGACCACACATCCATTAAGGAGCAGCCCAAGAATTCTCGGCCCAGGCAAAAGTGCATCTCACGGACAGGTACTACAGGATTCTGCCACACCTGGTCCTATAGGACTGCTGCAGGATTTGCCCCAAAAATCATCAAAAACCTGCATAAACAAGGGATTAACATTAGATATGTTATATTACTACTAATATATGAAAATGACATAAAAAGACTCAACTAAGACACTAATGGGCAAATAAAACAAAGGAAAATGGTTAAGAAAATGATGTAATAAGGTTAATAWAWTAACACTTATCACACCCCCAAACTTGAATTGTTGTTTGTCCCCAAACAACATAAAATGACAAATTAAAAGACTCAAATTTTTAATAAACTAAAAAAATGAGCATAAACATTCCATAGCCAAGGTATGCATATTTTTGAATTTTTTTGAATGAAAGTGTTATACCGTTGACTTGATGCTTGATATCCATAGTCCTTCATAAACCTAGCTCCCCCAAACTTAGGTCTTTCATATTGCCAAACCATAAACTAGCCTATATTTCTTTTGTTATACTAGATTCAACAGATAAATTGGGACTTTGAATTGGGTTTTGCATTTGGCTTTTTTTTTTTCAATGCATGCCTTTTACCTCATCTCACTTTTTCACTCCATAGCACAATTTTACTGCTATGCATCTCATATTGAGGTATTTTAGACACTTTGGTCTTTTTCAAACATTCTGGTGTACTTTGACACTCTTTTGCATGCATCAGACATGGAACTTTGTTCCTTTGAATTAATTTTGGTCTTAATGCATATGTTTCATGAACTCTATAAAGTGTTTGGTACTTTATGCATATGTTTCATGAACTCTATAAAGTGTTTGGTACTTTTAGGACCCTCCCCCAATCTTAAGGGAAACAATGTCCTCATTGTGAGTGTAACAAGGCTACAAATTGGCCAAATTGAAATGAATGCCCAATTGAATCAAGTGAAAGCTTTGGAAATGGTTGGCTTGTTCTAGAGGCTCAATTTAAGACAAAGATGGTTTAAGCTTTGGATTATTGTGGCTATGGCATCAAGTTCAAACATTTGTACAACAAATTCATTATTTATTCTATTTTTTGGTGCATATATGGCTAAAAGAAAATATGCTACTTAAAATCAGTGCCCAAAATCCTAAAATGAAACAGAAAAGCAAAGATGATCAATACAAGTGTAATTGATTATCCTTAAAAGGAAAAAAAAACTCAAACTGAAAACAATTGAAACAGAAAAGCAAAGATGAGAAGTCAAAAGTGTGACTTGGCAATCTTGTGAAAATAAAAGGACTCAAATACTCAAATGAAGGATTTTAAACAAAACCAACAATCCAACTCCTAATCAAATTGACTCTAGAGTAAGGATGTGGTACCAAGGATGAGCTTCAGACCAAGATAGTCAACCAAAGGATTGTATTACCATACAACATGGTAACATGAAACTAAACAATGGTCTTATCATAACTCATGGAGGTTAAATTGAGTGCATTAAGCTTGGCTCTCTCTCAAAACAGTAATACCAGCCATTCAACCTTTAAGAAACAGCAGAATTAAGATCCAATACAAACAGATTATGCTAGATATGACATGGTCAAAACTGCAAAGAAAAGATATGAGAAAGATTGCATAAAGGTTAAAACAGCAAATGGAAAGAAAAACACAATCATCATACAGGCAAGCCTAAGTCCTAAGACTGTTAACCAAGACATGCCTGATGTGATCAAGACATCAAAAATTAAAACAGCAAAGAAGTACTAGGATGATGTCTTAAAACAGCAAAGAAACTTTGAATGAAATGGTAGTCAACAAAACATAAGTATTAATCTACTAATTAAAACAACAAACAATTCTCAAGTGAGATGAATGAAAATAAACAATTAAGAGGTTTAAAATAGTGAACTGTATGAGCCTCTTTTACAAGATTAAAACAGTAAAGCAAAACAGCAAATCAAAACAGCAAATGAAAACATGCATTGCATGAGTCCTTGTCAAAGATAAAATAGAAACTCAAAAACTAATTAAGTAAATTCTGTTATAGCAAACAGAAATGGAACAGGTAAGGATTAAAACAACAAAGTAAAATGTAACTTATTTCTAAAAACAGCAAAACATACTAAACAAGAATAGCAAATTCTTAAAACAGCAAACAGTAATTAACTAATGAAAACAACAAAGATAACTATCAAACTTAGACCTAAAAATAACAGAGTCTAAATCTAAAAACAGTAAAGCAAAATTTATGTTAAAACAACAAAATAGATATCAAACAAAATCTAAAGAGTACACAGCACTCTAAAGACAGCAGAGTACACATGTACAAGACCTTTTTCAATGAATAATGACAGACACAACTCTAGGTATTAGAAAACAACAAACAAGAACTAACTGGACCTAAAAGTCATAAAAACAGTAAACTATATATATGAAAACAACAACTCAACAAATGCTTTTTAAAACAGCAAAATAAAAGGAGCAATCTACCTAAAAACATGCATAACTAAACATCAAAATATTAAAGGGTAAGAAGGTAGAACCTGTCCTACTCAGACTGAGTAGGAGAGTCTGAGTGCTGTAGCAAAATGGACTTTGGTGGAGGTGGGAGCTTGAATGAACTCTGTGATTTCCCATGCTTGGAAGCAGTTCTAAGTATCCTCTATTTCTGCATTTTGTACTCTGCCCATTGCATTCTTTTCCTCTTCAAAATGTCAACTTCCTTCTTCAGCTCATCTACCCTTTTCATCAGCTTGTGGTGTTTCTTTACAATGGTTCTCTTTAAGGCATTGGCATGATCCTACATTGCCTTCAACAATTCAACCTTTAGGGCTGCCATGGAAGAAGTTGATGCATCTGGTTGTACCTTTGCATTCACCCTCATCAATCTATCCAAATTTTTCTTGTCTATGGAGGTCTTCTCCATAGACATCACATCTTTGGGCAAAGCTAGGACTTGGGCCTTTTGCATAAGCCTATGTATCAAGGAAGGATAAAAGCAACTTGCCATTTATCCTTTCTACACATGCCTTGATGTTGGAGCTTATCATCCTCCCAACATCAAATGGCCTAGCCTCTAAAATACAGTAGATGATCAAAACTCCTTCTTGGCAAAGATTTGTGTCAGGGCTAGTAGGGTGAATTGTGTGCCTCATGAAATAGAACCATAAATTGGCTTCAGGCTTCAAATATTGAGTTTTTAGAAGCCTAGACCTACCCTTAAAACTCCAAACAGCCCCTTCCTTGGCTATCCTAGCTAAGTTCAAATCAAACTCCTCATCAGAGCACCCATCTATTAACCTATCTAGCTCAGAGTATGAAGGTGGTATGAGCTATAGTAGGTCATTTATGGCATTGGGTGAGTATGAAATAGGGGTCTTTCTCACTCTTAAGTCTACCCCATCAGTGATAGCTACCTCAGTGTAAAACTCCCTAACCCAACTAAGATTGTATTGGTTAGGTGTGTCACACAGAATCTCCCATCCCAAAGAATCTATTGTGGCCTTGGTGGAAGGATTGGCCAACAATAGTTGTTGTGAAAAACCCTTTTGCACCCCTCTACTTTCTCAGAAAATTGTAAGTAAGTTTTTCTTGCTAAGGGTGTGCTAAACAAGTTCTTGGGTTTCAAAAAGATACCTGGCCCTTCCTCAAATTGTTGCTCTGGCCTCTTTCTTCTTCTTGATGCCCTTTCCTCAGCCTCTGGTCTCTCACTACCCTCTATCCTTCTCTTTAAACACCTAGTTTCAACTTTACTCATTCTTCTCTTCCTTGCCACTTTCTTTCTCAAACTAGCCCTTGTATCAACCTCCTCCCTTTCTTGCTCAACATGTGGGCTGCTATGCTCAGGGCTATGATGAGCAAAATGTGCACCCTCATAATAGTCATGAGTCCCAGAGTGTATAGGGCTAGTGGGTTGGTTTGGACTAGGTATGAATGGTTGAGTGAAGTGGGGTGAGGGTGGTGGTGTTTGAGTGACAGGGGTGTTTTGTGGATTAGATGGGTGTTCATTGTGTTCAAAGAGTGTAAGGCTTGGATTAGTGGGTGATAGACCTAAGACAAAGTCTAGTTCTTGGATAGATACAGTAGGTAGCAAAGGGATAACAGGTTCAGTAGGTGTAGATGGTGTGTTTATCGGTTTAATAGGTGAAGGTATTGGGCTTGTAGTGGTTGTTTCAACAGGGGATGGTCTAGAAACTGTTTTGGTAGTGGCTGGATGGTCAATTATGGTAGGTTCAACAGTGGTAGATGAAATAGGAATAAAGGTAAAATGTGGTGAATCCATGAAGTTGAATTCAATGGGTGTGTCTCTAGTGATAGTGGGTGCATGGATAGTGGTAACAGGTGGTTGAGCAGGGGATGGATCACACTCTGGTTCTCTCCTAATCATCCTAACCATGGTTGCCAAAGCAGCACTAACAGAATGCTAAAAGGATGAATTTCCCTTTTTAGGTGCTTGGGCAGCCATAGAAGGTTGAGTTTGGATCATGGCAATACCAGGGGCACAAGTTGTTGTCCTTAGCCCCCAAACTTCATTAGAGGCAGCAATGGCCTAATCCACAGATTTTCTTAACATAAAGCCAACACTAGCTTGAGGGTAAATAGGAAAGCTAGATAATAAATCCATAGTTAAGGGTCTTGTGATTCTCAAACCTGTTTGAAGCGTCTCTGTGATGCTTGGAGGTATGCTCTGAGTACTCACTTGAGTTGCTGCATCTGCCAGTGTATTCAAAGGGGTAGAATCCTCTTGTATTGGTTTGCTTGTACTTCCTTGAGCAACATGTCTCTCGGGTGGTGAATCACTATCATCAGAAAGACTGATCACAATGCCCTTCTTCTGCTTAATGGGCTTGAAATTGGTAAGGCCTTTGGCTCTGCTTCTGGTCATTCTCAGGGTAGCTTGGTAATGTGCTTGTGGCTGTGGTTGTGGTTCAATCTTCACAACTCTTTGGGGTTGAGTTCTAGCTTGAGGAGGAGATTGGGGTGTTCATTTGGCAAATGGAACCTGCCTAAAAGGAATTGCATTTATGGGTTCCTCCTCACTTTCACTAGACTGATCATTGTTATTTATAGGGGGAATGGAATCTGATTCTCCCTCTCTTCTTCTTGCTCGAGATTTGAGAATGGCCATACAGATGGAACAGGGGAATGGTAGTGGTTCTTGGAGCAAAGAACAACAATGGATGTGAACAGTGGTTTGCAAAGAACCCGAGTGGTGTATGAACAGTGATTAGGGGTTTTTAAAGCCTCTAAACTTAGTCTCCAAGATTGTAGCTTTGAAAATTTCAAAATTTTCCCTGGATGATTGACAGTTATCGAGCGACGAGTATAATTAGTCAGAAACCGTACCTTGCTTAGTAATGCCAGTTCACATACAGTCTTTTCTCTCTGAAAATGGTTGCTTGGGATTAGCTATTGCTTACGGGAAGTGGTACAATGGAGAGGAAGGTACAGTGATGGAGTGAGTTGAGAGGTTGAAGATGAATAGACAGTAACTGGTACAAGAAAAACGCGGGCTCTTGACAGGCCGTACCAATATGCAGGCTTCGATCTTGGGCTTCTTCCGCGTGGGCTTCCTATACGCGGATTTTACTTTGGGCCTCCCTCTTCGCGGCCTTGGATGCTGTCCTACTCTCTCCAAAATGTCATCCACAAGGTCCTGCATGGTAATGCTGTAGAACTGATGGTACTTCTTCTTTTAGGATGCATCTTCTAATCACCTGATCTGCATAAATTTTAAACAAGAAAGGGTCATCCCATAAATATTTCTTTGAATCATAGATGAGCTTCTTTCTTTGATACTTATTAAATTCCTTGGGAATAATCCCATAAGCTAAGTGATTAACAAGATCAGCAAACCAAGGCACTGTAGTATGATTAAGAGCCAAAATTCTTTCATCTGGAAATACTTCACAGATGTCACTACTTTGCACTGGTTTGTCTTGTTTTTCCAATCTTGACAGATGGTCGACCACTTGATTATCCACCCCTTTTCTATCAATGATCTCCAAATCAAACTCTTGCAAAAGAAAAACCCACCTTATTAGCCTTGGCTTTGCATCTTTTTTAGAAATAAGGTACTTGATGGCAGCATGATCTGTATGAACAATCACTTTGGTTCCCATCAAGTATGATCTGAATTTTTCAAAAGCAAAGACCACAACTAATAATTCCTTTTCAGTAGTGGTGTAATTGATTTAAGCATCATTAAGAGTTTTGCTTGCATAATAAACAGGATGAAAAATCTTTTCTTTCTTTTGACCTAACACTGCTCCAACTGCCCAATCACTAGCATCAGTCATTATTTCAAAGGGTTTGGACCAATCAGGTGTTATTACCACAGGAGCAGTGACCAATGCTTCTTTTAAAATGTTGAAAGATTTTCTACAATCTTCATTAAAATTGAAAACATGGTCATGCTGTAATAATAAACAAAGAGGTTTTGATATTTTTGAAAAGTCTTTAATGAACCTCCTATAAAAACCTGTATGTCCTAAAAAACTTCTGATCCCCTTTACGGTTGTTGGTTCAGGCAACTTCTCAATTACCTCTAACTTTGCTTTGTCAACTTCAATGCCTCTTTTGGAAATTAAATGCCCTAACACTATACCTTCTTTTATCATAAAGTGACATTTTTCCCAGTTGAAAACCAAATCTGTTTCTTCACATCTTTGAAGACTTTTTTCAAGGTTTTGCAAACACAGGTCATATGATGTCCCATAAACTGAAAAATCATCCATGAAAATTTCCATGGAGTGTTCTAACATATCTGAGAAAATAGACATCATACACCTTTGGAAAGTGGCAGGGGCATTACAAAGTCCAAAAGGCATTCTTCTAAAAGCAAAAGTTCCATATGGACATGTGAAAGTAGTCTTTTCCTGATCATCCGGTGCTATGGAAATCTGATTGTAACCGGAGTAGCCATCTAAGAAATAATAAAACTCTTTTTCTGCTAGTCTGTCTAACATTTGGTCTATGAAGGGTAATGGAAAATGGTCTTTTTGAGTGGCTTTATTAGGCCTTCTATAATCCATACATATCCTCCAACCAATTACTGTTCTAGTAGGTATAAGTTCATTCTTCTCATTTGGTACAACAGTGACTCCACCCTTTTTGGGTACACATTGCACAGGAGTGACACAAGTACTACTAGCAATAGGATAAATTATGCCAGCGTCAAGCCATTTTAAAATCTCTTTTTTGACAACCTCATTCATGACAGGATTGAGTCTTCTTTGAGGCTCAACGGAGGTGAAACTTTTGTCTTCCAAAATAATTTTATGTTGACAAATGGTGGGACTTATCCCCTTCAGGTCAGCAATGGTCCATCCTATGGCCTTGGTACGAAGTTTCAACATGTCAACCAATTTTTCTTCTTGGTTAGCTTCTAATGATGATGAGATAATGACTGGCAACTTCCCTGAATCTCTTAAAAAGGCATATTTCAACTGTGAGGAAAGTTGTTTTAACTCTAAATTTGGGGCAACATCTAAGGAAGGAACAAGAGTTTTCCTATCCTCAGATTCTAAAACTTCAAAAGTAGCAGAGTCTTGGGGTGTTTCTAATTCCTTAAAATCTTCCTATTCATCACTATCAGTCTTAGATAAACCTAAGATTTCCCCCAAACTTTTCTCTTGACACCAGGTTTCTATCATACTTAAAGCAGAACATTCTTCTCTTTCCTCCGGGTACCTAAAGGAACTAAAAACATTAAAAGTCACTTGTTGGTCTTGGACTCTCATGGTTAATTCTCCTTTTTGTACATCTATCAAGGCTCGGCCAGTAGCTAGGAAAGGTCTCCCTAGAATGATGGGAATGTCCTTGTCGACTTCAAAGTCTAGGATGATAAAATCAGTTGGGAAAATAAACTTAACCTGAACTAGGACATCCTCAATCTTTCCTCTAGGATAGGCTATGGACTTATTAGCTAACTGAAGAGTTACAGTTGTAGGTCTAACTTCACCTATGCCTAGGGTATTGAAGACAGATAAAGGCATCAGGTTTATGCTAGCACCTAAGTCACATATAGCTTTTCCTATCTCTTTCCTCCAATTGAACAAGGGATTGTAAAACTTCCAGGATCTTTCATCTTAGGAGGAATTTTACTGGACAACAAAGCACT